GAATAAGGATGACAGCAGAATTGATGCCTTTGAATGGTGGCTTTGGAGAAGAATACTGAGTATCTTGTGGACTTCTGAAAAAACAACCAAATATGTCTTGGAGTGGGTGTAGCCTTGAGCGCTGCTTGGAGGCAAAGATGAGGAAGCTTCATCACACAAGCTCAGGCACGTTACAAGGAGAGATGATTCCTTGGAGAGGGATATCATGCTTGGAAAGCTGGAGGGACGGGAAAGGAGAGGAAGACCATGAGCCAGATGGATTGACAAAGTGCTGCAGTGGGATATCAGAAACTATGAGGATGGCACAGGATAGGTCAAGGTTCACATCTATTGTTTACAGGGTTACTATGAGTCACGCATAACTTAATACATAATGGTTGTAGGAACAGTTGGGTCAGGTTAGAAGCAGAGAACAAGCATTGAATTTCCCAGGAACATTCTTTTATTTTGTATCTCAGGGCTATAAGCCATACACCCAGGAAAACTAAAGGTGTCAACTTGGGTAATACCTTCTAGTAGGGGAGGAGCTGTATCCCACCTTAATCCTCTCTTCTTAATAGAATAAATAACTCATCCTTGAATGAAATTTTAAGCATAGATAAAGAGACTAGAAGTATACAATGGAATGCAGTGGATAGAAGGGTCACTGCACCACATTTATTTAAAGCTATACATCTAAAGCTTTAGCTCTTACAAACTTTGATATGTTGTGTTTTAATTTTATCTATTATGTTATTTCCTTTTTTTGTGATTTCCTTTTTTTATTATTTCCTTTTTAAGCCTGGATTGAGTGTTACTAATTCCAATGTATTGGCATGTGTTCCTAAATTATAATTTAATTACATTGTAGTCAGAAAAAAATATGCTCTAAGATTCCAAGGTCTTAAATTTTGTATGAATTTAGTCTTTCTTGTGTTATGTTGAAAGTGTTTTCTGCAGTGGCTGGGCTTCTTGTCATTGATATTAGGTACCTTCAGTCAAGTACAACTTGTAGTAACTCTATGAACGACAGAGCTGAACACTGTCCTAGCACATGCCGTCTTCGAATCTCTGACATAATCAAGCATATTACTACAGTTTAACCCACTTGGTCGAGGGTCTTCCTCTCTTCTGCTGCCCTCCACCTTCCCAAGCATGATGTCCCACTCTAAGGAGTAAGCTCTCCTAGCAACATGTGCATAGTGTGTTGCTCCATCATCTTTACCTCCAAGGAGCACTCTGGTTGCACCCTCTCCAAGACATACCTGTTTGTTCTTTTGGCATATTCAGCATTTGGTGATTTGAACATTTCAGTAAGACAAAGACAGATAATGTTGCTCTTCATGCTTTTTATATCCCAGTTGATTTTTTTTTTCCTTTTCAGATCTCCTTGTTCACCAAGAAAAGGGTGCAAAAATTTCCAGGTGACTCTCCTTAAAATATCACCAGAAGGTATAAAAATTTTAATTTATTGTTTAGTATTTCTGCCAAAAATTATCCAAAAACGTTTGGAACAAAATGTCAACTAGAACTGCCAGATGTTCAGGCTGGATTTAGAAGAGGTCATGGTACTATGGATCTTATAGCTAATGTTAGATGGATCTTGGCAGAAAGCAAAGAATACCAGAAGAATGTCTATCTGTGCTTCATTGACTATGCAAAGGCTTTTGACTGTGTGGATCACAACAAGCTATGGCTGACTCTGAGAACAATGGGAATCCCAGAACATTTGATTGTGCTTATGCAAAACCTATACTTGGACCAGGAGGCAGTCCTCAGAACAGAGCAAAGAGACACTACATGGTTCAAAAGAAGGGGGTCTGTCAGGGATGTATTTTATCTGCATACCTTTTCAATCTGTATGCAGAACAGATCATCTGAGACGCTGGGCTTTACGAGGAGAAATACGGTATAAGGATTGGTGGAAGGCTCATCAACAACTTGTGTTATGCAGATGACACAACCTTCTTGCTGAAACTGAGGAGGACCTGAAGCGCATGCTGCAGAAGGTCAAGAACTGCAACCTTCAGTATGGATTGAAGCTCAACATCACGAAAACAAAGATTCTCACCACTGGGCCAATTGGCAGCATCAGTATGGATGGTGAAGAAGTTGAGAGAGTTAACAGTTTTAGTTTACTTGGTTCCACAGTCAACATTCTTGGTAACAGCAGCCAGGAAACCAGGAGATGAATTGCATTGGGAAAATCAGCTGTGAGGGACCTCTTGAGTACTGAAGAGCAACAATGTCAGGCTGGAGACTAAGGTGCGCCTGGTCCAGGCTATAGTCTTCGCTATTACGTGCTATGTATTGGAGAGCTGGACAGTGAATAGGGATGATAGAAACAGAATTGATGCCTTTGAACTGTGGTGCTGGAGAAGAGTGTTGAATATACCATGGACTGCTAGGAGAACAAACAGGTTTGCCCTGGAGAGGGTGAAGCCAGAATGCTCCTTGGAGTCATGGATTCTGAAGCTTTATTTGGCATACTTTGGGCATATTGCAAGGAGGGACTGATCCTTGGAGAGGGACATCATGTTTGGGAGAGTAGAGGGATGACCCTCGATGAAATGGATCGATTCTGTGAGTGGAGTGGTCGAATGAGTGTGTTTGAGATGGCAAGGTTGGCACAGGATAGAACAACATTTAGGGCTCTTGTAATAGGGTTGCTATGAATCACAAGCGACTCGATGGCACATAACAGCAACAATAATTTCTGTTAACCATAAAATAGTAATTTCCTAGTTCCAAGCAGTAGGGTTGTTTTCAGATAGTATTTGTTCCAAACATCCTTTGAGCCCAAGGTTAAAACTGTGTGACAGGCTTATTATCACTTCCCAAAGAGATTGACAGCTTGGCATATTTGTTCCCATTCCAAGAAGGGTGACCCAATAGAGTGTGGAAATTCTAGAACGATATCATTGATTTCACATGCAAGCAAGATTCTGCTGAAGATCATCCAAAAAACGACTGGAACAGCACATCAGCAGAGAACTGCCAGAAGTCCAGGCTGGGTTTAGAAGGGATCGTGGTACTAGGGATATTGTAGCTGATGTTAGATGAATCTTAGCTGAAAGCAGGGAATACCAGAAGAATGTATATCTGTGTTTCATTGATTATGCAAAAGAGTTTGACTGTGTGCATCATAACAAACTGTGGCTGACTCTGAGAAGAATGGGAATCCCAGAACACTTGATCGTTCTAATGCAAAACCTATACTTGGACCAAGAGGCAGTTGTCAGAACAGAGCAAGGAAACACTGCATGGTTCAAAATTGGGAAAGGCGTATGCCAGGGATGTGTCCTATCCATACCTTTTCAACCTGTATGAAGAACAGATTATCCAAGAGGCTGGGCTCTATGAGGAGAAGTGTGGCATCAGGATTGGTGGAAGATCTATTAACAATCTCCATTATGCAGATGACACAACCCTGCTTGCTGAAACTGAGGAGGACCTCATGCACTTACTGCAGAGGGTCAAGGACTGCAGCCTTCAGTATGGATTGAAGCTCAATGTCAAGAAGACAAAGATTCTCACCACTGGACCAATTGGCAGCATCAGGATGGATGGTGAAGAGACTGAGACTGTTAATAACTTTAGTCTGCTTGGCTCCACGGTCAACACTCTTGGCACCAGTAGCCAGGAAATAAAAAAAATGTATTGTGATGGGAAAGTCTGCTGTTAGGGACCTTTCCAGGGTACTGAAGAGCAATGGTGTCACTCTGGAGTCTAAGGTGTATCTGATAGAGGCTGTGGTCTTTGCAATCACTTGTTATGCATCAGAGAGTTGGACAATGACTAAGGAGGATAGAAGGAGGCTTGATGTCTTTGAGCTGTGGTGCTGGAGAACAGTATTGAATGTACCATGGACTGCCAAGAAAACAGATTCATCCTGGAGAGGGTTAAACCAGGCTGCTCCTTGGAGGCAAGGATTCTGAGGCTTTGTCTGACATACTTTGGACATGTTGTAAGGAGGGAGAGGTCCTTGGAGAGGACATCATGCTTGGGAGGGTGGAGGGATAGCACAGGAGGGGAAGACCCTCTATGAGATGGATTGATTCGGTGACTGGGGTAATCGGGATTGGTGTATCAGAGGCAGTGTGATTGGCACAGGATAGAGCAGGGTTTAGGGCTGTTGTACATAGGGTCGCTATGCGTCGCAAGCAACTGTACAGCACATAACAACAACAACAAAGAGACTACTTTCCAACATGGCATTAAAAAGAGGCAACTTGGAAATTTCATTGCATCTTTTGGAAAGGAGTAATTTTATTCTCTTCAACCTCATCTTTGTTCTAGACATATTATGGGACTTTGTTTCTAGGGCGCTAATATCTTTGTCCAGCTTTCCTTTTCAGTCTTCAAATAACAGAAGTAGATACAGAGGATTAGGTACAGAAAATGTATTTATCTGAAAGCTAGTAGTGAAAATGGTTTATGTGGTGAATGGTACTCTTCTACTTAGTTTGGACATTTGAAAACCAAGCAAGAATGTTATCAAGTGGACAGGATGATGATGTCAGTTTAGATAGGGTGTTAGTGGTTTGCTCTGTGGCTACAAACAGACACTGTTTCCAAATAGAAGAATGCATCCATTGAGCTCCTGGTTTATGGAAACAGATAAAGTCCTCTGCTATTGACTTACAGGTGATAAGTCGAATGTACTCAGTAATGTCTTAGGGAAAGACCCAGTGGTTACCTCTGAGTAACCAGCCAGCCCTGGACAGCACTGTGGAGCACAGCTCCACTCTGAGAAGTGTGGGTCCGTATAAGTTGGAGCCATCTCAGTATCAACTCTATTTTTCTCAATCTATCGGGCAATTTCACAGATGTAGGGTTCTAAGGCTTCTCAGCAGGGTATGTGAATTTGTTTCTAAAATAATATTGTTCTTTGTTCATCACTGGATCTTTTTCTTTACCCAGTGTCCCTATAAGAGACTGTGTGAAGATCTAATTCTCCCCAGAGCACCTTTCCATCCAGAAGGACTTTGCTGACGTGAATGAACTTGACAAGCCCAGTGATGCCCTTGAAGCTGGGACAGGCCCTGGTCCAGGTGCCACCACTGGTAAAGGCAGAGGACCCCCCACTCCCTGGACCATCTGCTGCCCCTCAAGGGGAACTCTCCAGCTCTGAAGCTGCCTGGCAGCTTTTCAGAGGTTTTCAGTACCAAGTTCTGTCTGGGCCCCATGAGACCCTGAGGCAACTTCGGAAGCTCTGTTTCCAGTGGCTGCAGCCAGAGGTTCACAGCAAAGAGCAGATCCTGGAGCTTCTCATATTGGAGCAGTTCCTCACCATCCTGCCTGGAGAGATCCAGATGTGGGTGCGCACACAGCGTCCCAGCAGTGGAGAGGAGGCTGTGACTTTAGTGGAGAGCTTGAAGGGCGATCCCCGGAGACTGTGGCAGTGGGTAAGCAGAAGGTATTGGGATCTGGGGTCCAGTTGGGGTGTCCTCCTGCCTCATCTAGGGCTCTGTGTGCCTGTCAGGGCCCTTACTGGTGCAAATTATTTATTCTTGACCAAAAGGTTGGTGGTTTGAACGCAGTAAATCACATCATTAGAAGGAAGATCTTGTCATCTACTTTCCATGCAGTTTATTGCTAAGAAAACGTTAAAGAGCACCTCTGCTCATGGTGTTGCTTTGAGTTGGGATGAACCCTTGCATGGCTGCTTTGTTTTTCCTTTGTGTGTTAGTAACTGTCTGCACTCTTAGCTGCTAGAAATCCCATTACTTGTGCCCAAGGACTGTCCTGAAATCTGTTGTACAAGATTGACTTCATGTTTTCAGAAATCCTGAAATCATTCAGTAACTAATAATATATGGTCTTTAGATCCGCAGCCAGGTTCTGGGACAGGAAAGGTCACCTGAGGAAGTAAAATTTGCAAGCTGCCAAGTGAAGGAGGCAGAGGCCAGTCCTGAAGTGGTGTGTCAGGAGCTGGGACTTCAGAATTCAATCACAAGGCCTGGAGAGCATCTCAGCCACATCATCAAAGAGGAAGCTGACACTAAGCCAGAATTAGGTGAGGGCCAGTTCCTATTCAGAGAGGGTGGGGCCTTCTTGGAAAAAATTTGGGTTCCTGGCTGTCTGAGTTGAAAATGTGTTCAAATTGAGTTCCCTAGGAAGTTTTGGGTCAAGGTTGATGATCACAAGTCATTCTGATTTGGAGACTCAGTATTCTACATTTTAACTCCTTTATATCCACTTTGGATCATTTGGATTTTGGACTTGAACAAGGAAGGGAGAGAATACGTGGGTGAGGCTTTTTGGGATGTTAGAAGGATTTAGACTTTGTTAATGATACAAGTACAAATCTTGAAATTGAGGATGAAAGTATATGGTCTAATTTGCCAACTTTTTTCCTTCTTTTTTTTTAAAAAAAAATCGATACCTTCTGGGAAATGGCTGAGGGGGACATCTAGATAATTAAAAGTTCCTCTTTCTCACTTAAGTGCTGTTATTTAAGTTGATTTTGGTTTTATTCTGTATATTTTTGTGCCCCTTCGAAAATTGTCTAGTTGTGTTTCTCTTTAATATATTATCAAAAAAGACCAGTCACTTAATAAGGAAAAAAAACCCAGTGGAGTTTATTATTTGTGGAGTGGTTAATAGAGGTCCTATGGACCTTGATTTGATGCTCAGAAATTCTTCCCAGGTCAAGAGTACAAAACGTAATCTGGAATGCAAGGAAGCTCATATAGTGCCAGGCTTTCAGTATAGATGATTAATTTTACCCCCTTGCTCACTGATGTTCTCTTGGTGAAGAGTCCATTTTTTATGATGCTCTTTACTTTGCATATGAAGGAGAAAACAGGGTATAAAATTTACTGCAGTGTTTCAGATCTTCTTTCTTATTTTAGGAGACAGACAGGAGAATGGCAAAGAGAATCTAAACTTGGAAACCTGTGGGGATCAAAAGCCTCCAGATGCCCCTTGTCCCATCTCAGGAGAAGCCCCTCCTCAGGGGTCTTTGAGTGGATTCTTTGGTGAAGATGAACAAAGATGCTTTGGAGGAGATTCTCTCTCTAAGTTACAGGGACACCTCCAAGGTGAGGAGAGAGAGGAGCAGCTTTCTCTTCAGGAAAAGGTTCCTGGGAAACAGCAAGAACAGCCTGTGCCTGATTCTCACCCAAGAGACTTGTCTGTGCTGTTGTTCAAAGAGAAGAAAGAGGCCCCCCAGAAGGACCAGCTGAGACCTCCCATGATCCAGAAGCTCTCCACCTACAGAGAGTGTGGGGAAAGCTTCCACAGGAATTCTCAATTTTTGTTTGATCAGAAAACTCATACTGGAAAGATATATTTTCAGTGCCCTACCTGCAAAAAAGAATTTCTGCAGCAGTCACACTTTGTGAAGCATCTGAGAATCCACACAGGGGAGAAGACTTGGAAGTGTGATCACTGTGGAAAAGGCTTCAGGGACTTTTCTGAATTATGCCACCATGAGAAAATCCACACAGGAGAGAAACTCTATAAATGTCCTGTCTGTGAGAAGATTTTCCTCCACAAGTCCTACTTTAGTAGACACCAGTGGGCACACACAGGAGAGAAACCCTATAAATGTCCTCTCTGTCAAAAGAGTTTCAGCTATAGATCCACCTTAAAAAGACACCAGCAGGTCCACACAGGAGAGAAAACCCATAAATGTGCTCTCTGTGAAAAGAGTTTCAGTTACAAATCCAGCTTAAAAAGACACCAGGAGGTCCACACAGGAGAGAAACCCTATAAATGTTTTATCTGTGAAAAGAGTTTCATTAGGAAGTCCACCTTAAGCATACACCAGTGGGTCCACTCTGGAGAGAAACCCCATAAATGTCCTATCTGTGAGAAAAGGTTCCTTTGGCAGTCCACCTTAATTAGACACCAACAGGTCCACATGGCAGAGGAACCCTATAAATGTATTCTCTGTGAGAAAAGTTTCACCAACAGTTCAAGTTTTTTAAAACACCACAGAATCCATACAGGAAAGAAAGCTTATAAATGCCCCCACTGCAAAAAAGTTTTCTTTAATAAATCCAACCTTCTTAGACATCAAAGAGTCCACATAACAGAGTAACCTTGTAACTGAACCTGCTATGTCAAAAGTTTCAGCAGAATCTTAAGTTTTGTTAGACATTGGAGATCCCATCTGGGGAACATATCCTCTCAATAGCCAGAATCTTTTAGCCCTTGTTTGTGTCTTGTTCCAGTGACAAATACTGAGCTTTTGGAATCACCTGAAGAATTACATTTGTTCTATCTTATCTATTTTCATGGATTGAAAAGGAAGAACCTTGGAAGTCCAAGATTGGGCTCCTGGAATGAACATACTGCTTGCTTTATGTCTCCTAACAGCACTGGCCACAGGAATAACACCAGCTAAGTTCTTAACTAGAATTCCAGTGCATCACTTTCTGATGTAGAGCCCAAGCAGATATAGACTTCTAGTGAGCTCATGTATGCTCTTGACATGGGTACAATGTGTATGTGATATGCCTTTTCGTCAAATAAACTTGGTAGAGTCACTCCTCTTATTGTTGTTGGTAATAATCTTCATTGATTCACATTGAAAATGTGTGTGTGACCCTCCACCTTTCCAAGCATGATCTCCCTCTCCAAGGACTAGCCTATCTTAGCAACATGCCCAAATATGTGATCCCAAACTTTGTCATCTTTGTCTCTAAGGAGCACTCTGGTTGCATTTTCTCCAAAACATATCTGTTCTTTTGGCGGTCCATTCAGTTCTCTTCTCCAACACCACAACTCAATAGAATCAATTCTTCTTCTGTCATCCTTATTCATTGTCCAGCTCTTAGATGCATAGCAAACAATTGAAAAGACCATGGCCTGGATCAGGTACACCTTAGTCTCTAGATAGACAATTGTTTCTCTTTAGCACTCTGGCAAGGTCACTGAAAGCAGACTTTCCTAAAGCAGCTCATCATTTGATTCCTTGACTACTAGTGCCAAGAGTGTGGATCCATGCAAGATGAAATTGTTAACATCAATCTTTCCTCAATCTGTCATGATGTTGCCAGTTAGCCTACTGCCTTTATGTTCTTGATACTGAAAAGTAATTAATATTGAAGGCTGCAGCCCTTGACCTTCTGCAGTAAATGTTCCAAGTCCTCCTCAGCTTCAGGGAGCAAGGTGGTGTTATCTGCATAAAGCAGGTTGTTGATAAGTCTTCTTTTGATTCTGATGCCATATCCTTCTTAATATAAGTCCAGCCTCCCAGGTGATCTGCATATAGATTAAAAGGTGTGGAGAAAGGCTACATCCCTGATGCATTCCTTTCTTAATTTTGAACCGTGTAATGTTCCCTTGTTCTGTTAGTACAGCAGCTTCCTGGTCTAAATATAGGTTTCCCATGAGCACAGTCAAGTGTTCTGGAAATCCCATTCTACTAAATGTTAGTCACAATTTGTTGTGATCAGCACGGTCAAATGCCTTTGCATAGTCAAGAAAACACGAATAGAGATCCTTCCAGTGCTCAATGCTCAAAGTCCAGCTAATATTGGCAATGATATCCTAGTGCCATGGCCTCTTCTAAATCTTGCTTGCATTTCTGGCAGTTCTCTATCAACATGCTGTTTTAGTCATTTTTGGATGATCTTCACCAAGATTTTGCATCCATGTGATATTAGTGATATTCAATGATTTCCACATTCTGCAGGATAACTAGTAAGATGTGTGTAAAAGTCCAAAGGGGGGAAAGGAGGGGACATACAGGAGGGTAGAAGTTTGTGGAAGGGGATCCCTGGATGGCAGAGTTTGGTGGGCTGAATCATGGGGTGAAGAAATTAAGAAAGGTCCAATGGGGACCTGAACACACTGTGTAGTAATGGCAATGGCCTATTTGGATTTTGGAGGACTCATATGCATATCTTGGAATATTGTGAGCTCCAATCCATAAAGTTCCTCAAAAGACAACTGTTAGAATGGGGACCCGAGCAACAGCAGGCTATGGCTAAAACACAGAAAGCAGTCCAACTCTCTTTGCCTCTGGGTCCTTATAATCTACATTCAGATATGATTCTCGAGATGTCAGCCACCGGTGCTTATGCAGATTAGAGTTTATGGCAAAAACCTGAGAAGACTGCCCTGTGTTGTTCATTAAAATTCTGGACAAGGCAGTTCCCTGGTGCTGTTGCATCATACATGTCATTTGAAAGATGATTATTTGCCTGCTATTGGGCACTGGTTGGAACTGCTTCAATGACAGGACAGATTATTATGAGACTTAAAATACCCATCATGTTGTGAGAGATGCTCTCATAATACAGCTTGCTTGGATCCACAATCAACACTCTTAACACTAACAGTAAGGAAATCAAAAGATACGTTGCATTGAGAAAATCTTCTGTCATGAACCTCTGCAGAGTGCTGAAGAGCAACGATGTCAGTCTAGAGACAAAGGTGTGCCTAATCTAGGCCATGGTCTTCTCAATTGTTATGCTTCAGAGAGTTGAACAATGACAAAGGATGACAGAAGAAGAATAGCCTTTGAGCTGTGGTGCTGGAGAAGAGTCTTGAACATACCATAGACTGTCAAGAAAACAAATAGTTCTGTCTTGGAGAGGGAGAAACTAAGTCTCTCCTTGGAGGCTAGGATTTTGAAGTTCCCTCTCACTTACTCTGGGCATGGGGCCAGGAGAGACCAGTCCTTGGAGAAGGACATCATGCTTGGAAGGGTGAACATACCGCGCAGGAGAGGAAGACCCTGAATGAGATGAATTGATACAGTAACTGGGGCAATGGGGGTTGGTGTGTCAGAATTAGTGAGACTGGCTCAGGACAGGGAAGGGTTCAGAGCTGCTATACATCGGGTTGCTATGCATCACAAATGACTCAGCAGCACATAACAGTAAGATACTATGACAGGTTTAGAAGCAAGAGTGGCATCCACTTTCTAAACAACATGCCTCTGGAAACTCTATGAACTTTGATAGAGGGGTTTCAGGCCTTTTGTTCTTAGTGTCCCTATGAGTCGTGCTCAACTCAAAGGCAATCAACAACTTATAAAGATGGTGCTCCAGAGTGTGTTACTTACCTCGACTGTTAGCTTGTCGGGGACGGTAACCAGAACCCGCTGTCCACACCTGTCCTTCCTTTCTAACCCGTAGTCAGAATGCGTGAGTGCATCTCCATCCACGTTGGCCAGGTTGGTGCCCAGATTGGCAATACCTGCTGGGAGCTCTACTGTCTGGAGCATGGCATCCAGCCCAATGGCCAGATGCCAAGCGACAAGACCATTGGGGGAGGAGATGACTCCTTCAACAACTTCTTCAGTGAGACTGGTGCTGGCAAACATGTGCCCAGGGTGGTGTTTGTAGACCTGGAACCCACAGTCATTGATGAAGTTTGCACTGGCACCTATCGCCAGCTTTTCCACCCTGAGCAGCTTATCACAGGCAAGGAAGATGCTGCCAATAACTATGCCCGTGGACACTACACCATCAGCAAGGAGATCATTGACCTCATCTTGGACTGAATAAGAAAACTGGATGACCAGTCAGTGCACAGGTCTCCAGGGCTTCTTGATTTTCCACAGCTTTGGTGGGGGGACTGGTTCTGGCTTCACATCCCTGCTGATGGAACACCTATCTGTTGATTATGGCAAGAAGTCCAAACTGGAGTTCTCCATTTACCTAGCCACCCAGGTTTCCACAGCTGTGGTTGAGCCCTACAACTCCATTCTCACCACCCACACCACCCTGGAGCACTCAGATTGTGCCATCAAGGTAGACAATGAGGTCATCTATGACATCTGCCACAGAAACTTTGATATTGAACGCCCAACCTACACTAACCTTAACCACCTATTAGATTGTGTCCTCTATCATTGCTTCCCTCAGATCTGATGGTGCCCTGAATGTCGATCTGACAGAATTCCAGACCACCTTGGTGCCCTATCCCCGCATCCACTTCCGTCTGGCCACATACACCCCTGTTATCTCTGCTAAGAAAGCTTACCATGAACAACTTTCTGTAGCAGAGATTACCAATGCTTGCTTTGAGCCAGCCAACCAAATGGTAAAATGTGACCCTCGCCATGGTAAATACATGGCTTGCTGCCTGTTGTACCGTGGTGATGTGATTTCCAAAGATGTCAATGCTGCCATTGCCACCATCAAGACCAAACACAGCATCCAATTTGTAGATTGGTGACCCGCTGGCTTCAAGGTTGATATTAATTACCCAACCTCCCACTGTGGTGCCTGGTGGAGACCTGGCCAAGGTGCAGCAAGCTGTGTGCATGCTTAGCAACACCACAGCCATTGCTGAGGCCTGGCCTCGCCTGGACCACAAGTTTGATCTGATGTATGCCAAGCATGCTTTTGTTCACTGGTACGTGGTTGAGGGGATGGAGAAAGGAGAGTTTTCTGAGTCCCGTGAGGACATGGCTGCCCTTTAGAAGGATTATGAGGAGGTGGGTGTGTATTCTCTTGAAGGAGAGGACAAGAAGAAGGAGAAGAGTACTAATTCCTTTCAGCCCTTTAGCATATCACACTCAGAAATGACAAAGCTTTCTGGCTAGATTGTCTCTATCAATGTAATCATGTCTAATTTTTCCATGTGTTCCTGTAAGATTTTTTCCATCATGTCTCAAAGTAAAAAAAAAAAAAAGATGGTGCCCAAAACAGTTCTGTGATAAAAGGGTAATGATACATCTAGGAACAAGCCATCAAGGGAATGCATGAAGGCACCCACCATATCCACAAGCAAATAGCCTCTTTTCTCATTAATCCTACACTAGAATCTCTAAAGAGGCTTCTAGAGTCTATTGACACATGGGTAGTGTCCTGTGAACAACTTCCTGCTGATCAGCAAAGGGCTGCTTAGTTCACAGATAGTTCCAAGGTAAGTGGGCACCATTTACTATGGAAAGTCACCACACGAAGGCCAGTAGATGGCAAGACCCTGATTGAGGAAGTCAAGAACAGATCGACACAATGGGCTGAATTGCATTCTGTCTTCCTACCAGTGACTAGGAATTGGGCAATGGTGAGTTTCAATTTTTACTGATTCGTGGGCTTAGCCATTTGGGCAGGCAAGTGGGCCATTGAAAACTGGAGTATTAAAAAGAACACCAATGTGGGGCATAGACCCATAGAGAGCACTCTGGAAATTTAGGGGACACATTAGAATTGGTAATTCAGATGACACAACCTTGCTTGCTGAAACTAAGGAGAACCAAAGCATTTGCTGCAGAAGGTCAA